ATTTTCTGAATGATGTTTATTCTATCGATGAAAGCAGCACTTACCCTAAGCAGTTTTTATTGCAACAAGGATTTAGTTTCTATTTTTTAAAAAGCAGTTATGCCTGAGGATATGATTAAGGACGACTCGCCGACGATCCCGAGTTGTCAATAACGCCTCTCCAATCACCATCTGTGAAGTCAGCGAATTTGCAAAAAAAATTAAAATTTTAAAAATCCAAGTGTTGTACGAGATAGATTGGAAGTCGCTGATTCTGAATATGAAAATTTCTTTGTATCATGCTGAGTAGAATGATGTAATTTGATTCTTACAAAACCTATTTTAAGGTGAGTTATGAGTTCGCGACGGTTTTATCACGATTAATCTGTCGCCACCCGTTTTTTGCACCCGAGTTACGGGCTGTATTGTATTAGATATATCGCAAGCTGAAATCCAAGTAGGAATCGGCATAAATGTGTAATTTAGAGCTCTACTAGCTGCTGTGGTCCTCTTCTTCACCCTGATTGGTGTGATCACAAACATTATGCTACTCATCGTGATTATATGTCATTGGAAAATTTCCTTTCGATCTCAGGTACTCCTCATAATCAATCCATAACTTGATTACGGATTTGCGTAATTTTAGCACTTCACGTTCTTCGTGCTGAATATGATTACCTCGGGTCTAGTCTACTCCGTAACAAACCTATGGGTGTCCGTTCCATGTACCTTAAATGAATGCCCGTTTATAAGGTATACAGCATAGCTTCGCATTCAAACAATAACACCTAATCTGTAGAACAGCTCAGCTGATTCGTTCCATAATCAATAAACGAAAAAAATGGAAAGTTCTCTGATTATGGCATCTGTCATTTTAGCTCGGACACAGTCATGATTACGCTGGCAACTCCTAATACTTTGGGACACTGGGGATACCTCTTATCATCGCTGGCTTTCACAGTGTATCGTTTTGGTCTATTTATGTCTAAAAGTATTGCAGAAAGGACCACTTGCATCAAGGTTTGAATTAGTCCGTCCCATTGTTCTTCGCTGCACGATATCAAATCGAAAAAGTTTCAATTCCTTAATCTTTATATGGAACTTTTTCAATCATATAAATAAGAAAAACTCAAACGCGTCGTAGAACACAAGGCTTCGGAAGAATTCACTTTTTTTAAACATATTTCTTCTTGAAGTCTGTAAGTGAATATGGACCCAGGATAGTGTAGGAACAAGTCACACCGCTCACTATACAGTTCTTTAAATAAATTCGAGCTATTTCTTCATAAAAATACGATGAAATAAAGCAGTGATCAGCGGATTTAAAAAGAAAAAATTAATCATTTTCCATACACTACAGGTGCTACTGATTTCATCATTGATATTGCCGCTCTTAATCACT